ATCTTTCTTCTATCATTGACAGTCCCTCTAGGTTGTGGGCTGCTTGCCTGTGTTCCTGAGAAGCATCTACGGTACCAGTCTATAGAGTGTGTTTTCTTTAGTGAATTACCGGTATGTTTACCGGTAATAAACTTGCACTGTTTTATGTATATGTTTGATTACATACAGCCTTGTGACAGTTTTCCTGCATGTCATAAGCATTTGAATATAAATTAAAATGTTAAAATCAAATCTGATATTGTTTTACCTTTTATTTGGTGTGTGGAAGGTGTGCGGAAGAGGGGGTAGTCTTATACGGCGAGTATATAACAAACTCTGTATTTTGAGTGGAAATGTTAGGGGGTCGTCTTATACACCCAGTCGTCTTATACGCCGGCAAATACGGTACCTATTTCACAGATGTTGGAGGAGAGAAAGCTATAGAAAAGCACATAATGCTTTGAGAGATTGTTTACCCTAAATATTTTCTATCTCTTTTCCCAAAGAAGTAGCAAGGATAGGAGATGGGAATACATGTGAGGTGATCCCAGAATGCTCATTGTAACTAAATCCTTCCTATGGGTTCAGAGCTGTACTAGATCAGACTTCTTGAATTTAAATCCCAGCCCAAATCCTGGTTTAGAATTCTTACACAGCAATATAACCTTGAGCAGTTCTTTATTTTCCCTTAGTTTCCTCATCCTATATAATAAAAGGCTAATATGCAAATAGACTGAATGGCAGAACGACCTGTTGCTATGATGCTCACTAACCATGTCTGCCCCCTGGTGGTCAGTGTGCTCCCAGAGGGGGACCACTGATCTCCCAGAAGCCGGGCTCATGGCTGGCGAGCGCAGTGGCAGTGGTGGGAGCCTCTCTTGCCTCCGCAGCAGTTGGTCATCCCCTGAGAGCTCCTGGACTGCGAGAGGGTGTAGGCTGGGCTGAGGGACCCCCTGAGTGCATGAATTTCGTGCACCGGGCCTCTAGTTTTTGATATAAAAATAAATAGTATCTACTTCATAAGTTGTTTTGAATGCTAAATAAGTTAATAATGCTCTTAGAACCAGTGCCTTTCACTAGTATTAAATGTATGTGAACATGGGCTAATTTGCATGACAGGTGTAAATAATAAATTACTACTTATTATTATTATTACTAAGTATGCCTTGAGATTATCTTATCTCTGAAAGTTTCGATCATTTCTCTTCCAAAAAAAACTAAAACAAATATAAAAGCTAGTTGATTTAGGACTCCAAAGTTAATTAGGGTTTTCTTTGGATTTATTTTAACTGTCTAAATTTTTTTTAATGTATTTAATTTACATGACCTTTTCTCCTGGCAAGTTAATTATTTTTAACATATTTTTACTGAAAAGATGTTTTGCTAAAACCATAACTTACTAAATACTATTTTTAAAAAGTCACTGGTGTCATTCTGTAGATTTGTGCTGCTGTTTGTTTTTTCCTGCTTAGCTCAGTGTAAATCTATTACCTGCATATGTTAAAGCAGTTTTAGTCTGTATGTTGCTGCTTCCACTTTTATGTTCTTAGCCAAGCTTATCACCTGCCAGCGGTCATCTATTTCTCCTCATAACACAACACCATATAGACATCTATGGACTTAAGACATAGACATACTTAAGACATCTATGGACACAAGTTTTTATGGTAATAGAAAGGAGCTGTGGAGTTCAACACTTTCTTTCAGGCCATGTAAACTGGCTAATTTGCATTACAACTGTAAACTTAACTGTTTAATGATAGGATGTACATTGGTTATTTGATGAAGTGCATGGTAAGGGAAGATATGACCTCATTGGTTTGTGATGGTTATTATATGGCTAAGATATAGTTTGTGAGTTAAGTTTTTTAGTGTTAAAACAATCATGGTAAATATGAGGTGGGGAATTTTGCTCCCCATGAAGGTATTGTTATAGTGTGACTGAAAGGTTAGCCAAGCTGGCGTTGCTCAGTGGTTGAGCCTGAACGTTTGAACCAGGAGGTCACGGTTCAATTCCCGGTCATGGCACATGTCTGGGTTGCAGGCTCATCCCCAGTAAGGGGCGTGCAGGAGGCAGCCGATCAGTGATTCTCTCTCATCATTGATGTTTCTCTCTCTCCCTCTCCCTTCCTCTCTGAAATCAATGAAAATATATTTAAAAAAGAGATTAATGACATAGTTTGTATTGTGTGGAACATATCCAACTAGAACACCTGAATAATGATTTTAGAGTATTGTTTCTCATACAGCCTTTTTGGCGATTGTGGAGACTGGTCTCACTCACTCTCTTTGAGTACTTTTTGGCCAGCTATTTCAGCTTCTGTCTTTATTCATATTCTGTGGTTTTATGGGCTTATTTTGCACATGCTAGTTTTCAAGGTTAATTGTGTCTTGGGCAAGGGACAAGGGAGGTGATTGTGAGTGAAGGGCAGACATCCTCTGGGATCAAAATTGAGGGACAGCTAATAGATGTTTAAAGCTATTATCTAACAGATTTTCTAAGGATGACAGCAATGGTATGGGATTATATTTCTGTCTATTTTGTTTTTAAAGAAAGAAAATACACCTGGAGATTAGATATTTCTCATGCTGTAATTGACCAAAGAAATTTATAGGTCAGCGTTTATATGGAATAAATGATATGTCACAGAACAAAATTGTAAATTCTTTAAGAATGCTCTTTTGCCAATTCAATCTAATTGTATAAAACTTCACTTAAAAATATACTCTGTGATACAGATGCTTCTTTTTTAAAAAGCAGGCCATTTTGCAAAATAGTATTGTTTAGAAATTTTATAAATGATACGCAAATTTAGATGAATAAAATTAAGATCATATTCTCATGTTCTTCAAATGCAGCCTTTTTTTTCTTTTCTTAAAAATACAATCTACTGAAATACTTTAATTTTCCTAAAGGACTGCTAGATTCAGTGAGTTTAGATTCTGAAATTTTATTAAAACTACTACTGTGTGAAGAGTTCCATGGCTAGCTTGGGCTATTTTGCATATTGGATTAATTTTGATGTCCATTAAGTCTTTAATTATTTGTACTCATGGATGCAAATATATATATATATTACTCTATAAACCATATTTGTTCTTGAATTATTTGTTAAGATTCTCATTTGGATATCTCATTTGACTTTTTTTCCTTTCTGTTTTGTATGCAGGTCATGGCAAAACCCCAAAAGATGCAGCATCAGTTCGTGCCACACATCCAATACCAGCAGCCTGTGGGATTTATTATTTTGAAGTAAAAATTGTCAGTAAGGGAAGAGATGGGTAAGTAAATTGTGGTGGGAAAAATGGTTTACTATTCTTGGGTAATTATTTTTGTTTCAATTCATAATGTTTATATTAACCAAGTTTCTCTGGTAGGTTTGTCTTTAAAATGAAGAATTGGTATTAAATAATAGAGGTAGTGAGTCATTTTCCCATGCCTTTTCTTACCCTGAATCTTTCTGAGTTGAGAGACCCAAGTTGAAATAGGCATGATTGTAATAATTTCTAACTCTACTGCTGCATATTTAGTAAGCCAGTTCCTTTTGTACTCAAATTATATCCTTAACCCCATCATGCTGGTGTTGTGCAGGATGATTCCCAGGGTTCTCTTTTCCTTTTACACTACATAGGCTACCTTTGCCATGATCTCCACTTTATATTTTCATGACTGCAAATACTTTGATGAATTTCAAATCTAAACTACATCTCAGCCTGTTCCCCTGAGCTCTGGACCAATATCTAACCAGATGTTAGCATTTGAACACCTCACAGGCACTTAAATATAGCTTGTCTGAAATCTTCTTTTCAGTGCTAGCTTGGTTAGTTGGTTAGTTGCTAGAAGGTCGAGGAACTTCCTGGTTTTACTTTCTATGTCCATCTCTAACGCCTCTACCTTAGTCAGGTCTTGGTAATTTATCCCTTAAATTCCTGAGGTGCTTGGTTCATTGGTTTCCTAGTTGCTCCCTCTTTTCTTCTTTTTCTTTTTTTAAAAATCCTCACCCGAGAATATTTTTCCATCCATTTTTAGACAGAGAGAAATATCAGTGTGAGAGAAACATATCGATTGGTTGCCTCCTGCAGGTGCCCTGATCAGAGCCTGGACTGAGGAGGAGCGTGCAATTGAGGTACGTGCCCTTGTCCGTAATTGAACCTGGGACCTTTTGATCTGCAGGCTCATGGTCTAGCCACTGAACCAAACTGGCTAGGGCTCCCTGTTTTTTTATCCTATCTTATAAAAGAGAAACATGGTACTTAGCCGTACCTCCGCTACCCTTCCCATTGGCTAATCAGGTTGATATGCAAATTAACTACCAGCCAAGATGCCCGCCGGCAGCCAGGCAGCTTGAAGCGAACATGAGGCTTGCTTGCTTCAGTGATGGAGGACTCCAACATTCCCCGCTAGCCACTGCCGGCCTCTGAGCTTGCAGTTTGAAACATTGTTACAAATATAGAAGGTAAACAAAACCCCAGAAACCTGCTTTCAGTCAGCCAGGATCTCAGAGCTGGAGTTGAAACAGTGTTCCAATTATAGAACCCAAACAAACCAGATACCTGCTTTCAGCAGCCGAGGCCTAAGAGCTGGAGCCAACCCTCAGAGCTAAAGCTGGCCCAGAATAAAAAAAGAAAAAGAAAAAAAGGAGCGGTTGGCAGCTTCAGTCACCTGCCAGCCTGAAAACGTCCCTCAGCCCCTCACCCAGACTGGGCAGACACCCCAGTGGGGACCCCCCCCCTGAAGGGGGTGTGACCAGCCGCAAACAGCCATCATCCCCTCATCTGGGCTGGCCAGGCACCCCAGTGGGGACCCCACCCCTGAAGGTTGTGTGACCAGCTGCAGCCAGCCATCATCCTCTCATCCAGGCTGGCCAGGCACCCAAGCGGGACCCCCACCCTGATCCAGGACACCCTTCAAGGCAAACCAGCTGGCCCCCACTTGTGCACCAGGCCTCTATCCTATATAGTAAAAGGGTAATATGCCTCCCAGCACCAGGATCAGCGTGACAGGGGTCAGCGCCCAAACCCCCTGATCGCCCTGCGGCTCTGTGTGTGACAGGTGGCGGGGCCACAACCTCCCTATCCGCCCTCCTCTGTTTGTGACAGGGGAAGGCGCCCCAACCCCCTGATCAGCCCTGATCTGTGCCTGATATGGGGGAGCTCCCCAACCCCCTGATTGACCCTGTTCTGTGCGTGACAGGGTACGGAGTCCCAACCCCCCTGATGGGCCCTGTTCTGCGCGTGACAGGGCGTGGCGCCTCAATTTCCCCATCGACCCTTCCTTGAGTGTGACTGGGCGGTGCCCCAACCCCCCAATCGGCCCTACCCTGAGCGTGACAGAGTGGCATCACAACCTCCCGATCTACCCTGCTCTGTGCATGACAGGGGGCGGCGCCCCAACTCCCCAATCAGCCCTGCTCTGAGCCCAACCAGGTGCTGCACCTAGGGATTTGGCCTGCCCTCTGCCACCCGGGAGCAGACCTAAGCCAGCAGGTCATTATCTCCCAAGGGGTTCTAGACTGCGAGAGGGCACAGGCCGGGCTGAGGAACCTCCCTCTCCCCCGAGTGCACAAATTTTTGTGCACCGGGCCTCTAGTTTCATTCTGTAATTGTTAGTGGTCTTTTTAATACAGAACTGAATTGTGACTTCCCCTTCTTGAGATCATTTAGTACACCTCTTGCTTTGAGGATAAAATCTAAAACTTTGTTACCAAGCAAGGGCTCACTCCCTGACACAGGTAGAAGCCAATACTATGGCACCAGATTTTAAGAAAAGAAAAAAGCTTTATTGAGAAGTGAATTGGTAAGGAGACAGGAGGCAGAGTTCAAATCTGTCTCCCTCATCCTGTCTTCCAGTTGAGATTTAAGCAGTTAAAGGGAACTGGCTGGTGTGCACAAGTGCTGAAGGCAGGTTTCTGTAGAAGGGCTTTGGAACTTGGGTCATTCATGATGAGATATGGTAGGGGCTTCAAGCAACAGAATTTCTGGACAGTGGAGACTTTACTTCTGAAAGCCTTCGGGCTTTGCTTTTGGTGAAGGTTGGGTGGACAACCTCTGCGGGTGATTGGAGATCAAAATTCCTATACTTGTGCTTCTCAAGAATGACTTGTGGTTTTGTTTTGTTGTCTCTGAAAAACAACTCAGTATCTTGTTAGAAACAGGATAGGGCCAGTTTGAGCTAGTTCTATCATTACAACTTCTTAGGGTCCTTCATGAAGATGAACTCCTTTCTAATTTTTCAGGCTTATCTCTTTGTTGCCAGGTTTTCTTTCTTTCTTTATTTTACATATAGTAAAGTTTATCATTTATTCTTTTTAGTGTGTAGTTCTGTGAGTTTTGACAGATGTGTATGGTCATTTCACTACCGCCATAATCAATATATATAATAGTTTCATTAGTGCCCACCCCTCTAATGCTCCTCCATTCCCCTTTATAGACAGTTCTGTCCTATCTCCAGTCCCTAGCAACTGCTGATTGGTTTTCTGTTTCTATAGTTTGCTGTTTCTGGAATGGTTTAAAAATGGTATCATACGGTTCTTGGTTTATCTTTCTATCATTTCCTTTTGAAATTATAAGTAAATATTGCCACAGAAAACTCTGAACATGTATCACAGATAACTGGTGACACTAGTTGCTTTTCTAGATAGGGGAAGTGGTTAGCTTCTGAACATAGTGAAAGGAAACTTTAAACCAGGGGTCCTCAAACTACGGCCCACGGGCCACATGCAAATACGAATATTGTATTTGTTCCCGTTTTGTTTTTTTACTTCAAAATAAGATATGTGCAGTGTGCATAGGAATTTGTTCATAGTTTGTTTTTTTTAAACTATAGTCCAGCCCTCCAACGGTCTGAGGGACAGTGAACTGGCCCCCTGTTTAAAAAGTTTGAGGACCCCTGCTTTAAACATTTTTGTCAGTTTTGAATTTTGTGGGTTTTTTTTTTTATAATGTAGTTTATTTTCTTTGCTATTTTAGAGATTAGTATATTTTTACATTTAGAAAGTTACTTTTATACTAATACCTGCAGGCCCCTCCTTTTAAGATATTCTCTTTTTGTGAGCAGTAATGGAATTAGTAATAACCTCTTCACATTCCCTTCCCTCTTCCCTGATATCTATATTTTTGGCATTTAAAAATTTATTGTTGATTTACATGCAGTAAAATTCACTTTTTTGGGATGGCGTGTAGAGTTCCGTGAGTTTAGAGAAATAAAATACAATTATGTAATAACTACCACAGTCAAGATGTGGAACAGTTCCCTCACCTCCCAAAATCCCCTTTTGTTGCCCTTTTATAATCAAATCCTCCAGCCACCCCTAACTCCTGGAAACCACTTATTTGTTTTCTATTTCTATAGTTTTTCCTTTTGAAACCAGAATGTCATATAAATGGAAATGTCACATAAATGTAACCTTTTGAGTATGATGTTTTTTCACTTAATTTGATGCATGTGAGATTCATTTTAGGTAGTCCAGTCTATCAATATTTCATTCTTTTTTTGGTAAAGCCTCCCCATCTCCGTTTTGTTAATTGTATTCGTATATCTCTCTGTTGCAAAAGAACATCTGTAATCTCATCATTTAATGTTAGTTCTAAATTCAATATGTTCAACATCTTGTCCCAAAACTTCTTTTGTGTATTTTGGTTGTCTGAAGCTCACTCTTTACCAGAGAGCTCAGGAAGAGCTCATGGGAGACAATATTATTTCAGTTCTTTTTGGTTCATAACTTGTTTGTGACTATTGCATCCATTATATTTGAAAGAATGATTGGGTATAAAATCCATGCCTTACATTTTCTTGTGAGCTCCATGGACTTGGATATGAAGTATTATTGTCAAAGTCTTATGCTTTTCCCCTTACATGAAACGGGGTATTTTGCTTACATGCCAAAAAGATTTTTCCTTTTTAAAAAAGTACCAATACTTGAGTTATGCCTTGTCATTAACCTTCATGTGTGGCCTTAAATAATAGGGCTAAGTCTTTTATTTCAGAAAATTTTTCTTTTATGAGTTTTCAGTATTTGTCCTGTTTCAATACATAGGTTTCTTTTGGGGCGGGAACAGAGGTGGGAAGGTGGTCTCCAATTATGACTGTGTTAGATCTTCTTTGCCTAACTTCTATATCATTTGCTCACAAAATCTTTTTCTTCTTTGTTTATTTTAAAATTTTCCTCCATTCTGTTCTTTCTTGTGGGGTTTGTTCCACTCTTGTGTTGCATTTAGTTTGTTTTTATTTCTGATATAACTTTTCTTTTTTTTCTTTTAATTCTTTCATGATGCAAATAAAA